GAAAAAGAGTAGTTTAATGATGGTGATTATTACACTGTGCATTAATAATTGTGAATTAATTCCTCACTTTCTCCCCCTTCTTTATCCCATGGACAGTTACACTGTCCTAGAGGATTGGCTCTGGTGTCTCCTAGAGTTAGCTTGATCCCCTTCAGGAAATGGGGAGTGGGTGATTTTCAGAGATTTGACTTTTAGAAACATGAGCCAGGGTCTCTTTTCAATGTCCCCTCCCTCCCCCGCAGCACAACCAAACTAGTTCAGTTTTGAATTCCCATTCTTATTTTTAAATTGCTGCATGGCCTCTCATTCCTCAAACCTCCTCCAAGATATTTGCACTCCTTTTAACTCTGACTCCTTGACAATCTCCAGTTTTAACTACTCCACCATTAGTGACCATGCCTTCAGTTCTGGAATTCTCTCTTTAAATCCTTCTCTTTTCAAAGTGCTGCATACAACCTGCTTCAAATAAAATTTTTGTCATTTGTCCCAGACCTAAGATCAGCTGCAGCTCAGTGAATAGCTCTTTCCTGAGATTTTTGGCTATGGTTGCAGTAATATGGAGAGGCAGCATAGTGTAGAATTGGCACTGTAGTCCTGAGTACTGAGTGCAGATTCTATATTGTAAATGTTCTGGTAGTACCCCCACAGAATGTAATTAAGTTAATTTACTCTGAAGCTTGGACATGACCCTAAAGACGGACATATTTTAATGTGGACTGGTAATGTGGTACGGGTAAGCTCATCACAAACTTCTCTTTCTCTTCAGTCATGACCTCGCCAAGAAATTCTAGAGCATGGAGTTTATTGCTTGAGTGGTAGACTCAATGTGATACTGACCAAGAATATTCCAGGTTTGGTCTTGATTTTTATCAGTGTATCCGGAAAGGCTGTAAAGCTGTTGATGCTCAAAGCAGTGTCTGCAGTGGAAAGCAGCACAAACATTGAGGAATTTGCTCCTGGCTTTTAACTTAGTTCTTGTTTGTGCAAAATAACACGCTAAAGGATTTGTGTTGGCAATCATTATTTGAAATAATTGAGCAACAAATCAAGAGAGCAGGAAGACAGCATTTTTTCTGTTGATTGAAAGCTGGGGTGGAGATTACTTCTGACAAAAAGTTGGTACTGCGGGGAATTTGAGGCCAGAGTGGTGATCTGGACTAGTTTTGACCACCATTGTTGAATGGGTTGGAGAGGAATTTCCCAAATTTCTCCTTTCTCACCCCAAAATTTGACCGAATTTTAATGTTTTTATTTATTCAGATGTGGTTTTGGGAGTGAGAGAAATGTGCATATATATCATGAAACCTATGAAAACAACATGACTTCCTGTGACAGTTGGGTGGATCAGAGGGTCTCTTCCTATCTGTCACTTAGTGTTGGACCAGATTGCTTTCAGTTTGTTTCCATTCAGATATTTGTCTTGATCTCTGCGCACATTGTGAAAGCAGCCGTTATTAGGTTCTTATCCAAAGCCAATGTCTTGTATTGAAACCGTACATAATGTATGACTTAACAAAGGGGCCCTGAATTACTTCTGGATGCCATGGTACAATTTTGTTCAATGGAATTTGCTGGTTAACTTCAGAACTCGATGTCGAGAAGCTTTTAGGCCATCCAACCTGTTGCACACAAACATGGTGCATTTTTTATCATAGTATATACAATCTCCATCCCACTTGAAACCATGAGCTTTCCTAGAAGATGTCTGAAACCACATAGATCTCTTGAGACCAATTCGGGGAAAATATCCATTATTCCTTCACAATCCTGAGCCCCAATGTTGGAATTGATACTAGCCTCGAAATGATGGTTATGGAACTAAAGCATTCAGCAGTGGGCAAAAAACAATGTTTCATGATAAACCTTTTGAACAACAGTTAAGTGCTAAGTTCCCATTCTTATTTAGTGCAAATATTAAGATCATAAAATCAGACAAGGTTTATGAATTAAAATTATAATGAACCACATCACAAATGCAAACTATCCATTTATGGCTAATATCTCAAACCATCGAATGAATACAGCACAGAAGGGAAGCGTTATGGCGCTGTGCAAGATTATTTAACCTGGTCCTAGTACCCCTACCTTTCCTTCTAGCCCTTACATTTTTCTTTTTTGATACAATCCCATTTTTTTGAGAATGCTTGAATTAAATCTCCACTACCACCATTTCAGGCTGTATAGCATGGTGGCTCAGTGGTTAGCACTGCTGCTTCACAGAGCCAGGGTCCCGGGTTCAATTTCACGCTGGGATGACAATCTGTGTGGAATTTGCATGTTCTCCCTTTGTCTGCGTGGGTTTTCTCCTGGTGCTCCAGTTTCCTCCCATAGTCCAAAGGTGTGTAGGTTGGGTGGATTGGCCATGCTACATTGCCCATAGTGCCCAGGGATGGAGGAGGTTAAGTGGGTAAGCCAGGGGAAATACAGGGTTACAGGGGTAGAGTGGGGAAGTGGGTCTGGGTGGTATGCCCTTCAGAGGGTCAGTGTGGACTTGATGGGCTGAATGGCCTGCTTCCACTGTAGGGATTCTATTCTATGTATGTTCCAGATCCTAAACACTTTTTTTTGCATAAAAAGGGTCTTTCCTCTTGGTGCCATTGCTTCTTTTACAAATGCCTTCAATCTCTGCTTCTTGATCCATCCATCAATGGGCACAGTTTAGCTCCATCCACTCTGTCAACAGCTCTCAAATCTCCTGTCAACCTTCTCTTCTCCAGGGAAAGCAATTCCAACTTCTTCAATTCATCCAAGTAACTGAAGTTCCCCATCAATAGAACCAGTTGTAGTCTCACTGCCCTGGATATTATTGTTCCCATCTCACCTAGAGACCACCCTTAGACTTTAGTCCCAATGTGCAATTGCAATGGACGTCACTTGATAGTCAATCTGTAGAGTCAGTGTCTCAACCTTATTTGGGTCTTACCATTCAGGGTGTCCTGACTTGATGTTTAGTGCCAAAGGACGTCATCTCTTAAGCCAAGCTAAAGACAGCAAACAAAGTAGGATGGGATCAAGGCTTGGGTTTCTTTTTGTGAAATTTACTCTGATAGCAGGGTTAGGTGGTGGTGGGAGGAAGACTCCTAAAGAAGCCAGCAGAGAAGGTGGAGGAGAAAACAATTATTTGTAACAATTTCTGGTTTATATTTCAGAAGCCTCTGCACCAACTGTTATCAAGACAGGGATTGTTTGGAAGTCCGTAAATCCTGCCTATAGGTTCCACGTGGCTGTGTAGTGAAATGCTCAGTGGGGTCTAATAGTAATCCTGACTGACCACAATTAGCAGCTTCAGTTCTAGATTGAGAGCTGGGCTCCTTGCAGCTGCTACATTTCCGGAATGGGAAATGAAATGGCAGCAGCTCCTCACTTGAATTTATTGGCAGCTCGGGAAAGAGTGCTGGGCTGTCAAATCTGTCGCTCACCTCATAGATGCAGGAGCATTGTGACCAAATAATTTCCCAACGGCCCCACAGCCAAATCATCCTGGGTCTAAAAGTGAAAAAACACTCCAAATAATTCCTGTCTGACCCTGCAATCTGGGTTTTGCTCTTTTTTTTTCCTCCCATCTAAAAAGGTGATAGAAGCCTCCGTCAATGAGGCCACATGGGGCCAAGTATTATCCACAAAGTCTAGATGTCTGTATAATATGATCTGTGCCCTAGCCAGGAATTAGTTCAGCGCCTGAAGGCAGAATCGACACCCTCATAAATTTACAGCATGTTCCTGATTTCTCGCTGTTGTTTGGCCACAAAAGAACTGTTTCAACATCTCTTCCTACTGTGCTCTAGGGAAGAACATTGGAAAGGAAAGGAGCGTAATAAGTTGCAAGTAAATACAATACCTCTAATGTTTCCTGCTCCTCCCCAGTCTCTTGAACTGGAAAGTCTTGTTTTTGGATAGCTATTAGCTGTCTGCCATTAAAGTAGATATGCCGATTGTAAGTAATAGAATGAAGCTGGACAGCCATTGTCTCCATAGAGCTACCCCTCTGACGGAACAAATGGCTTTAGGGAAGAAAGGGTGAAAATTGATGGGTAAAAGGGAAGAGTAAGTACTGTAAATATGAGAAAGACAGTGAAAGATTTCTTCTTCTTCTTTGGTTATTCTGACTTAATTTTGCACATCCCTGACTCTTATCAGTCCATTTTGGCAGCTGTGGTCCTTTTGTTCTGGATCCCATCTCTTAACCCCTCTGCCTTTGTTATGTCCCACTTGGGAAAGTGTGTGATTCAGTAACATCATTGCTGATTACGTACTTCAGAATGCATTCTGCCTTATCTCCTTCCTTGGAATCCAAAATCTCAGTCTCTGACTTTAATAGAAGTGCTGATAATGCATCTGCAGCTCCACAGGGTAGAAAATGTTCACTGTTTCAAACCTTACCTTCTGAGGAGGTTTCTCCATCCTGAATGGCCAAGCCCCTTATTGTGATAGACTGACCTGGACACTGGCCCCACAATAAACTCTGGAATGTTGTGCATTGTGGTATGAGGCTTAGCCAGAATGGAGGCGAGCATAGCCTATGTTGATCATAACTGGATACTGCTGGAACCACAGGCCTAGCTCCACCATCTCTCCCTACCAGTTTATTGATTGGTGTCACTATTCTCTCTCGTTCTTACTGTCTCACAAGACAACGTGGGGAAAATCGTTGATGATGAAACTGACTGTAAGCTATCCTGATAGTTTTGGATACTGAGTCACCTGCAGATCAGCAGAGTCCTAGAGATGTATCGAGTTGATTTTAACATTGGAAACATTATCATATTATGACTCACTGTTGTTTAAGGATGGGATCAGTTAATCAAGATTTTTGTTAATTGTGTTTGAGGCAAGTGGGGGACACTTTGCAAGAAGAGAAGACAGGGTAAGAAGCAGTTGATTAAATATTTTTATCTAAAATACTTTCTGCCAATAGATAAAGGTTAATGTTTTCCACCCAAGTGAAACATTGTCAGCAATTAACAAGCTTAAAAAAAACCTGTTTTGATTTCCCACTTTAGGTAAGGACGAGGGCAAAGAGAAGAATGTGGATGAAGCAGCCAGCAGCACCACAGCTGCTTCTGCCTCCCTCATGCCAACCATCTGGGATAAGACTATTCCCTATGACGGTGAGACCTTCCACCTTGAGTACATGGATCTGGATGAATTCCTCTTGGAAAATGGCATTCCGGATGGCTCAAACCAGTTTGAACTGCAGGAAGAATTGCATGATGGTCTCTTGCCAGTGGCGGAGCTGGAAGAGAGAGTATCATCTCCTACGTTGTCATCTTCTGGATCTCCAATTCATTCTAAAGTGGAGAGTGATGGTGAGTCCTAACCAAAGGGATCCTTTTGATTAAATTGTTTTTCATAGCTTGATCTCGATGATCTATCTCCAGACTTGGGTTTAAATTAAAACTGGACCAATAGGAGGAAAATCTCTCCTCAATCTATTGGAACGTGAAGGTTGAATGTATAACGTATTTGTCTCCTGGTGACCCTGTTCCTAGGTGGTGAGACCATATCCCCCCCCCCCCCCATTGCAACATTAGCAATTTTCCTGCAAGCCACAGGGAATGAGGAAGTTAATCCAGCTAGTATTTGTAGGAATGTATTACTGAGATGCAGAAGGGTAAGTAAGCTTCACTAAAGTGATTTGTCTGCACCAGTTGCCCAAGCTTGCAGGTTCAGGTGTGGTGAACAGCAGGAAGGAGAGAGGTGAGTCAAGTTCAAAGGTGAAAGGAGTGCCACACTGTTCGCTGTGGATTATGGTGTTCAGCTATCCGCGCCTTCAGCAATGACCTGAATTAGTTCTGACTTTGCTGTTGACCTTTTTAATGCCCTAAAAGACTTGTTTAAAATCAAACCATAAATCCTCATTACAGAGAAGGACATTAAGTATTGTATTTCTTAAATAAGTCTCTCCCCTTCCTCGTAGGCAGCCACAAACAGGTCTGTTGCTGTTTGCATATCCACTGTCAGATGCAACTAACTAAAACATGGCTCTGTCTTTTTTTTCCCCTATTTTAAGGGTAATGTTTCTTTCAGTGAAATCCTATATGACCACCATCATGAATCAGTGCAATTTTTGCAACTAACCACAGCATTGGCTTGAATCAGCTGTGTACTGAGCAGGGTGCTAACCAACAGTTAATTTTAAATTAATCTGAACTAGCTAATTGATGACTAATTTGTGTTTTGATCAGTTGAACTTATGATGCACATGAACAGTCATGGGTGTTGTCGTAATAAGTAGCATTCAGCTACCGAAAATGTTCTTCGGATGCTGGTTTAAGATCAATCGAATATAAAATGGATGAGAAGCAGGTAATTTATAAGCTCATAACTCATTGCTTATTTTTTAAAATTGGATCTAGCTCTCATTCTAGAAACGGATGGGAAGAAATCCGAACGGAATATTCCAAAGTCTGACCTGGAAGAAGTTGATGTTCTGGTGAATTTTGAACCTGACCCTACTGACCTGGCACTCTCAAGTGTTCCAGGAGGAGAACTCTTTAATCCGCGGAAGCACAAGTTCAGTGATGAGGAACTCAAACCACAGCCGATGATTAAAAAAGCAAAAAAGATCTATGTATCACCTGATCAAAAGGTATCTGTTCAGCAAGCTCTCTGGCACTTCCCTAAACTAAAACTCTGCAAGGCTTGCATTCTGCTGTTCTTACTCAAGACCTAGTATCCATTTTTCTTTACAAGTTGATCTCCTGGAAACGGTAGGGATAACCAGGTGGACCTCATAGAATACAAGTTCCCTGATTGGGGCTGTTAACCTGGTTCAATCAGAAAGTTCTGGATGACAAATATAAACTAGTGTCAGGGGTTCTGTGCTAGTGTATAATACTATGCACCTGTAAATAAAGGGTGACTTGGTGACAGGATACCAGCCTTCATGGAGTTATTTCAGAAACCACAAGTTGATCCCAAGTAGAGCATTCTTCTCCATGATCGTGAGGCAGGTTTGTTCAGTGGTTGCTGAGAGGAGCAGAGTAACAGTTTGATCACTGCTGTGTGCTGAATTATTTGATCTTGTTTAGGAAGAATGTGCAAGAGCCTTTGTTTGAACTTGATCACTATATACCGAAGAGGAATTAGTGAGCAGACGAGATGCTGCTTTATTCACTCACTTCCCCCTCCACCCCAGTCAGTGAATATTGGTTGCAAATAGGATCAGATCCAGTGTAAGGCCAGTGCAGTTTTAACAAGTCCTACATAAATGAAATACTGGGATGCTGGATATTTGAAATAAATCAGAAAGGGCTGGAGAAACAATGTAGATCTGGTAGGCCCCTTTGGTGAGCTACTGGAGTGTAGCAAGCATCTGTGAAGCAGTACTTTCAGGAAAGGTGGTTGAGAAAATTGGGAAGGGAAATTCTGGTGAAATCAGCAGCACAATCTGTTTCAGTCTTCTCGAATTGTTGATACAGCTCAGAAAGAGGTTGCTGAACTTGTCTATGCCAACACTTTGCAAGAGCTGTGCAATTAGTGTTTCTATCCCACTCTTTCCCCAAAGTCCTGCACTGACCGCGTATATATCACTCCAGCAAACAATTAACTCAGTGCTACATTGTTAGAGATGCTTCTTTATAGATGAGGTGCGAACTGCCTGTTAACTAGGGCATGACTCAAAGGGATTTATTCTGTCTCTCAGTTAACACTCATTAATTTATCAATCATCCTGTTCAATTTGTGAGATCTTAATGGGAATGGGTTGCTGTTTTCATCGTTTTCTCACTAATGCCTCAAAGGTATAATGACTTATTGCTGTCCTTGCTCCTCTTACCCCATGCATATTGTTGGATTCAAATTTTAATATTCCCAAGTCCCTTCTTATTTGGTTAAAAGAATGGTGTTCAATTCTGTATCAAGCTGACCACTGTTGGAGACTGAGACTGCAAAGAAGGGAAGCTTACTTAGCAAGTTCTTGGCAACGACCCATATACTTGAGTCCACCTTCATTGATTAGTAGGGACTTGGTCTGAATAAATGTACACCCCTGAATTGTAAGAATCATGAAGCTTGGAGATGCATGAAGCAACATGGTTGTAAGAGTTTCAGAATTGACATTGGGTCTTGCATCAAAATCTGCAGTAGCATTCAAGTAAAATGTATCTTGTTCCAAGTGCTGGTGGAGGCTTGATGTTCAGACTGGAGGCCTGTGACAAGCGGTGTTCCACAGGAATCAGTGCTGGGTCCACTGTTGTTTGTCAATTATATAAACAATTTAGATGATAATTTAGGAGGCATGGTTAGTAAGTTTGCGGATAACAAAATTGGCAGTATAGTTGACAGTGAAGAATGTTACCTAAAATTATAAAAGGATTGTGATCATTTGGGCCAAAGTGCTGAGGAGTGGCTGATGGAGTTTAATTTGGATAAGTGTGAGGTAATGCATTTTTTGTAAAATGAACAAAGGCAGGACTTGCACAGTTAATGGTAGGGCCCTGGGTAGTGTTGTCGAACAGAGACCTAGGGGTTTAGGTACATGGTTCTTTCAAAATTACATCACAGGTAGACAGGTGGTTAAAAATGCATGCCTTCATTGCTCAGACTATTGAGTATATGAGTTGGGACATCGTGTTGAGGTTGTACAGGACGTTGGTGAGGCCACTTTTGGAGTACTGTGTACAGTTTGGTCACCCTGCTATAGGAAGGATATTATTAAATTGGAGAGGGTTCAGAGGAGATTTACTAGGATGTTGCCGGGTCTGGAGGGTTTGCGTTGTAAGGAAAAGCTAGGATTTCTGTCACAGGAGCACAGGAGGCTGAGGGGTGACCTTCAAGGTTTATGAAATCATGAAGGGCATAGGTAACATGAATGGCCAAGTTCTTTTCCCTAGGATTGGGGGATTTCAAAACCAAGGGGCATATTTTTAAGGTAAAAGGAGAAAAGACATGAAAGGTAATTTTTTCTCTCACAGGTTGATTCTTCATGTGGAATGAACTGCCCGAGGAAGTGGTAGATGCAGATACAGTTGCAGCATTTTAAAAGAGATTTGGACAGATACATTAGTAGGAAAGGTTTTAGAGGGATTTGGGCGAAAAGCAGGTAGTTTAGTTTGGGAAACTTGGTTGGCATGGACAAGTTGGACTGAAAGGTCTGTTTCCATGCTGTATGACTCTGACTGGTCCAGCTTAATCTGTCAATACTACTGACACTGTAACAAAGCTTTTGTGCTCATCCCAGCAGTTGAGCAGCACCTTCCTCGAATGACCATACTGTGTGAGAGCATTTTGCGGGCTGGCCGACCAGGAGTTGGAGGGAGAAGTTGGCAAAGATTTGGCAAATGGAGTACACTGGGAAAGTGTAAAATTGTTCATTATGGCAGAGAATTAAACAAAAGCATATTATGTAAATGGTGAGAAGTTGTAGAGCTCTGAAATGCAAAGACATGGGACTCTTAGTGCATGACTGTCAAAGGTAGTGTGTAGGTACAGCAAATAATCATTCATGAAAGCTAATAGAATGTTATGGTTTATTGAAAGGGGAAATTGAATGCAAAAAAAGTCAAAAGTCAAACAACGCCAGGTTATAGTCCAACAGGTTTTTTGAAATCACAAGCTTTCATCAGGTGAAGTGGAGGAAAGTGCACAGGCACAGAATTTATAGACAGAGATAATTGCAAGAGAATACAAGAAAATAAAGTTGTGCTTCAGTTGTGCAGGGTATTGATGAGATCTCATCTGGAGTACTGTGTACATTGCTGGTCACTGTATCTATGGAAGGATGTTAATGTTGGAAGTGGTTCAGAGAAGGTTTACTAGACCAGGAATGAGCAGATCGCCTTATGAGGAAAGGTTAGACAGGTTAGGCCAGTATCCTCTGGAGTTTAGAAGAGTGACTGAATTGAAAGCATGTAAGATCCTGAGGGAACTTGACTGGGTGGATGTTGAAAGGATGTTTCTTCTTGGGGGAGAATCTAGAACTGGGGGCTGTAGTTTAAAAATAAGGGGCATGCATTTAAACCAAAGATGAAGAACCATTTTTTTGAGAGTTGAGTCTTTAGAATTCCCTTCCTGAAAAGGCACTGGATGCAGAACATTTAAATATTTTTAAGGCAGTAGATAGTTTCTTAATCACCAAAGGGATGAAAGATTGTCAACGAAATGCAGAAATGTAAAGTTGAAGTTAAAATCAGATCAGCCATGGTGGAGCAGGCTCAAAGGGCTGAGTGGCCTACAGGGATACTGAGGTTAGCTGCAATCAAGTACCAAGAAACTCTAAACAGACCTGGAACTGACTCTGGAATCTTGCTGTCTGTTACTGTGTCTGTCCAATGAGCCACAGTAGCATATGGCATTCTATCAATGCACTTCTTTTATCACCCAGGTTAGCAGTTGGGAGGATGCCACTGGCTTAGTACCCCAGGGCTGGGGGAATCAGCTGGGGGTTTTGTTCCTAGTTTGCCATCCAGTGACCTTTGCTGTCCCAACTAGAATTTCCCCTATGCCCTTCAAAGATATCGTTTTTGTATTTATTAAAAATTTATGCATTGTTATATTTATTTGCGGAGTTACTCATTGAAAGTGTGCAACTCCAAACCGAACAACCACAGCTTCTGTCTGCATCTAGTTGTACCTACCTTAATGCAGCCAGACATTGTCAACAACAATATTGTTCCTTCTCTAAGAAGTAACACTGATATAATATCAAACCTGCTGGTGTACTGTCTTTTGGATTTGACACCAAAAAATAACCATATGCTGGTGAAATCTTGGATTATCAAAAGGAGTTGGCATTTAAGTAGGGAAAGAAGTTTTTTTTCAATTATTTGGAGAAATGGCCTGGGGTCATATGAGCCTGTATCATTAATATGTTTTCCCTCCTTAAGGACGATCACTACTGGGCAAGACGCAAGAAGAACAACGTGGCAGCAAAACGTTCACGTGATGCCCGGAGACTGAAGGAGAATCAGATCATAGTGCGAGCAGCCTTCCTAGAGAAGGAAAACTCAGCCTTGAGGCTGGAGGTAGTTCAGCTGCGTAAGGAGGTGGCACGGTACAAGAGTATCATCTCCAAATACCGACCTCAGTAAGAGACCCTCAGTTCTGGTGGGAGTGTGGGGTGTCAGAGTGGAGAATGTTTGTTTGTTTGTTTTTTTTTAAACAAAATTCTCTTTAAAGGGACAGTAACTTTCAAAAGAGCACAGCTAACTTCTTAGTCACTCCCTCACCTGAAGAAAATCACATTGAATGGCTTTTATTTTGAACATCCAAATATATTAATGAAGTATTGATCCTCCTTTCTCCCATCTTTATATTATAATTAATAAATCTCGCTACTATTTAGATGACTATCTGGGTCAGCCTGTTCAAAACAGTAATCACTTGCTGGGGAGATTAGGGTTTGATTTTTGGAGGAATTATGTTAAATTGGCCTAGAGCTGGTGCCATCAAAACTCATCCTTTGGAATACTGAACTGCTTCGTTCATGTCATTCATGCTGTAGAAGCTTAGGCAATGACCTCGTAAATGCTCATTAAATGTTGGAATATGCCCTTTCAAAAGAGAAACTAAGAACACAGTAGGAATCTGCCCGCTGCTCCTGCTGTGCCATTCAGTAACAATCCTGCCCTATTCCCCCACTCCTAGTGTCCAGAAATCTGCCTTGGACTGATGTACTTCAGCTCAATGGAATCCTTTTACTTTATCCTGGACTGTGGTGCCAGTTTACTTTCTTCCCTACACAGATTGGGGTTTCCCCCAATCTGTGTAAGATGTGTATGGAATCAGCCAGCACCCTTACAGTTCTGAAGCTAGCAGAAGCAGTTCTGGACCAGGAGCTTTTCCACTGTAACATAGAGAAGCGTAGGCACTTGCCTTCTGACTCTGGCACTTTGTCTTTTATTCTAACGTACTTGCACTATTAATGGGCCTCAAATCCCCACCAGCTGAATGAATGGTAGAGAAATATCTTCAGAAAGATAATTCTAGTACAAGTGTGGAAGCACATTGAGATCTTCACACCAGAGAGCTGAATCAATTGTCACAGCAGCAGACTCATTGAAAGTTGTACATCTTTTAATTTTTATTTTTCTCATCAAGTTCTCACATGGTGTTCATTTTGCTCATTTTAGAGGTGTGGGATTTGAAGTGGAAATTCTGCTCGTTATAGTATGCAACTAGCTGTGGCACAGATCTTACCCTGTCCCTTTTTATTTCAAGTGATCCATGAAACTTGGAATAATTCAACCAAGATTTTTTTTCTTACCCTCTGAAATGGACCGAGAATCTGTTGAGGCAAATGATATAAGCAAGGAGAAACTGAACTTTTAATTTAAAAAAAGTTTTTGTATTCTGTGTTGCTGGGTGAGGGATGTGTTGTATCATTTATACATCCTTATCCCTCTTTTCTTCCCTGCATTCTATTTCTAAACCTTTTCAGGTTGCGGAGCTGCTTTCAGTGTGGGTCACCTTTTTAAACTTGCTGATACCACCTGGGGTCAACATTTGCTGCTGCAAGCACATTTTCATTCTGTGCATTATTTTAAAAATCATTCCTTTCTGGTTGGAATCCAATGTGCTTCTTTCTACCCCTCTTTTAAAAAAAGCCAGTTAAAGCTTTACAAAGATGATGATTGTGATCATGTAGAATACAGAAAAAGCTTAGCCTTGCACAGAATGAAATCTCCTCCCTTGACCATCAAAGGGAAGTAACCTTTCTCTTGGGCATGCTGTTGCACTTGGCGGTGCACAGGCAGCAGGAAGTGTTCAGGAGCTGTACAATTTTAATTCTGTTTGAGATATTGGTTTTAAACTTTGGCTTTTTATCTTAACATTCGCATTACCCAGCATTGGGATGGAGTAACTTTCCAATGACACTCCTCTTTGTTAAAAAGAGAAATTGTTCTATTATTGGTGTGACTAATGGATCTCCCTCAGCCTTGTGCACAGAATCGTAACCTAAATGAACCGTGGGCAGAGGGCAAGGGACAATTGGATCAGGGCACAAAGATGTAATACATTTGCAATTTTTAAAGTTGTATATTTTATTGTATTTCCATTGTTCAGGTTGCAATGGAAACATGTAAATGTGACAAGTAGGAAGTTATATTAAACTAATGTTTAAAATCTTGGAATACTGCACATTTCTGGTCTCCATTTGATAATCATATAGAGGCAGTGAAGAAGGTGCAAGAAATAATTCTGCAGGATAATACTGGAATTGACTTTATAACTTACCCAGAAAGGCTGAATAACTTTGTGCTGTTTTCTCTAAAAAGACCAGGTAGAGGAAAGCCTTTAAGAATCATGAAAGTATTTGATAGAGTTGCATACAGCCTTTTCTGTTTATGAAATTCAAAGGGTGTCATAAATATAAGATGGCCACTAATAAATCCAACAGAGAATTTGGAAGAGGAGAGTGGTTAGAATGTGGGACTTGCTGCCAAGAGGGGTAGTTGGGTGAGAAGAATAGATGGCTTTAAGAAGATGCTAGATAAACTCATGAGGGAGAAAGGGATAGAAGGATGTGCTTTTTTTTTTTTAGTATTTAATCATGCAACTTGTTTTTCCAGGACAAAGTTCTGTCCTTATTTCTGACAAGATTTCTCCTCCACATTCTTACCTTGCTCGCCTTTGTCACTTTTTGTTTGCCTTCTCATTTTTGATCAGTTTTCTACCAAACAGCAGCCACCTTTGATTTACTCCATTTGGATTCCAACTGAATTTCCATCCTCACATTTCACCTAGTTCGATATTCGAAGATATTAATTCCTTAAATCACTGCTTTCACCCACATCCTGAGATCCAATCTTGATGCTATGTACTCCTACATAGATGTTCTTTCCCCTCTCTCTTCAGCAGCACTGGCTAACTCACAGCACTGTCCTCTGATTTCATCCTTCACCTCATCTGACACTTCAATGAGACTTCTTTACTTTTTACTTCTGAAGGAATCCAAGCTTCAGCAGTAGTCCTTTGAGTCCCTATTCCCTTCAAATCTCACCTTTCACCATATTTCCAACATCTACTCCACAGTAAACAGCACTGCCTCAACATAGCATCCTTCCATTGCAACCCGACTTCTATGAACGTAGAATTCACTTTGGTAGAGTTTTTGTGGTTTCACTTTCCTGCCCACATTGTTTGTTTGCCAAGAGCTCCCACTGCCTTTTATGCTACATATTACTCCCATCCCATCCCCACCCCACAGGTCCTTTCTCTGGTCGTTGCAATTCTTGTTTCACCTGGACACCTCCCTCTTCCCCTTGTCCTCCCTTCATTGAAGACCACCGTGGTGACACCAACCATCTCAATTCCCTGCTCCTCTCTCGTATTCTAACCTGTCTCCCGCTGAAACTGCAGCTTCTGTTCTCTCTGGTCCTGCCCTGATTTTGTCATTAAACCTGCTGACTAGGGTGGTGCGATTGTTGTACAAATCAACATCAACCTTGCTGAAGCAAAACGTCAATCCTGAGACTTCCCACTGCTCTGTGACCCCATCTTTAAACATCAAGCCATTGTTTCCAGGATTATGACTGACCTAATTTTCTCAGGAGATCTTCCCTCCACAGCCTTCAACCTCCTGGTTTTCCCAAATAACAAACTTCTACCTTCTTCTTAAGATCTGCAATCAGGCCTGTCGTAGTAAACCCATAGTTTTAGTCTGTTGTCACCTGGTTTTTTTTTTTTTTTTTATCAACTCTTCATCTCCAATCCATCCTTTTCTCATCTTCATCCGTGACTCATCTGATGTCCTTGTCAATTGTAAACATTTCTCCATTCTAACATTCTCCTCTTCACCACGGATGCCCAATCTCTCCACACTTTAGTCCCGTGTCTAAGCTACAGTCTCGCTGCTTTTTCCTTCATCGATGGTCCAACCAGTCGTCTCTGCCTGGGTGATTTTGTTCTTGAATTGAATAACTTCTCCATTTACTGTACTCCCCTCTACTATCCAGTATTTCTATGAGAAACTATAAACGTCCTAATTAGCCTGCCTCTTTGTAGAATGTGTGATAGATATGTGGAAAAGAAATATTATTTGTTCCAGTCCCACCCACCTCGAGCACCCCAACCACCATCATATGCATCTGTCTTCTAGTACCTTGATTATATCAGACCCATCTCCTCCTGCTCCCAACTAAAAACTATTTCAACTTTGCTACCAGTCTCTGCTTTCCCTTACCTTCATGTGGTCCATCTTTGACATTTTTTTCCTTTCCATTTCCTTTCCTTCCCTTCCTTCCTCAACATGTCTCCATTTCTGTGGGTTTAACTATTGACTGCTATTCACCATAAACCCACTAACTCTCTCAGCAACTTTTGACCACACTTCCTCCCATTCCACCTCACATAGGATTGTACACCAATCTCCTGGTTTCCCAGTCTCTGTTGCACCTGTTCTAATGACACCCATAACTTCTCTATTTACCAACCAAGCATTTCCATTTGTCATAGTTGATCGGGCTCTCAAGCATGACCGTTCTGATTCTGCACCAGTGTATCTTAAGCCACTGCTCTAGGTCAATAAGTTGGCATCCATTGGCGTCATCAGTATAGGTCTGGAACGAGAAATTGGCACCTGCTTGGCTCACAGGTATATGTACGTTGCTGAAATCAATGTATGTGTGATGTTTGCTACCTCTCCGGCTGTACACTTGCCACTTTGCTTGGCATACTGCTTACTGCCTCCTGTCACATGCCCAGCTTCTCTCTGTCTCCATTCCACTAGCTGTCCCACACCCCCACTAAAAGTGAGGAAGCAGGGTTGCAAGCAGGATGGTTGCAGTGAGGGATTCTTGTTCTGACTGCTCTCCTCAGCCTCCAGTACTGTTCTGATGAAGTGGAGGTGCCAGTGTTGGACTGGGGCAGACAAGGTCAGAAATCACACAACACCAGGTTATAGTCCAGCAAATAGAGGAAGCAGAACGGAAGTGATCTGACATAGGGTAGGAGGAGAGAGATCAAATGACAAATAGGGATGTTGGTGCAAAGTAAAAACAAAATGGTAATGGGACAGGTAAAGGAAGATGATGGTTCGGAGATGATGTACATGCTGTCTGACAAAATGAAAACAGTAAGAATCATGAGAAATTGCTTAACTCCATACTGAGTACAGAGGCTGCAAAGTGTCCAAGCAAAATATAGAATGCTGTACCTTGAATTTCATTAGAACAAGGTCAGAAATCACACGACACCAGGTTATAGTCCAACAGGTTTATTAGAAATCACAAGTTTTCGGAGTCTCAGACTAACACATGAAGAAGGACTGAGGCTCCGAAAGCTTTTTTAAATAAACGTGTTGGACTATAACATGGTGTCGTGGAGTATTGAGTTAAGCAATTTCTCATGATTCTTACTGTTTTCATTTTGTCAGACAGCATGTACATCATCATCTCCGAACCGTCATCTTCCTTTACCTGTCCCATTACCATCTCGTTTTTGCTTTGCACCAACATCCCTATTTGTCATTTGATCTCCCTCCTCCTGCCCTATCTCAGATCACTTCCGTTCTGCTTCCTCTGTTTGCCATTGCATCTCTTACTCCTACCAGGTCTGTTGAAAGGTCATCATCCTGAAACATGAAATATCTTTGTCTCTGTACAGCTACTGCCCGACCTGCTGAGTGTTTGTTTGTACTGTCTTGGAGGATATGCTGCTTGGGTGGGGAGAAGGCTTGAGTAGAGCATAGCCATTGGCATAGGCCACTTGAGGTAAATGGCTTACATGCTGCACATTAAATTGCACTAGAATGAAAATGCCTTAGTGCAACCAATTTTATATTCAAAGTTTTCATATTAAATTCTTACATCATGTTTATCGTAGAAAAGTTGAATTGTGAGTGAATATGGATGATTTAATACTGGTGAGAGACTTGAAGCTCATATTGGAATGGCCAGAAATCTAATCATAAATTGAGTGTCTCAATCCGAATCGGAAGAGCTTGAATTTTTTTTTAAAAGAAGCTTGTTTCTTTTTTGAAAGCTTTTGCAACTGTGATCCCGATTGAACCAACATAATTGTCTAGCCATTACCTTATGCTTGTGTAGGGTTGTATTCTGTCTCTTGCTCATGCTTTTGCTGTTTTGCTGTGGCTGTGTCTCTCCCTCTGTGTCCATCTCTTCCTATCTCTCCAGTCTTCCAGGGGTTGATACTTAACCTCCAGCACAATGCCAAGAGCAAAACCCTGGAGAAAATTCGTAGGCTTATTAGAATAAAATTGTTTTTGTTTTATTTTAAATGTACTTTAAAGTGGTGGATGGCACGGTGCCTCACAACACCAGGGACCTGGGTTCAATTCTACCCTCTGCAAACTCCACAGACAGTTGCCACGTTCTCCCTGTGTCTGCGTGGGTTTCCTCCCACAGTCCAAAGATGTACAGGTTTGGTGGATTTGCCATGCTAAATAACCCATAGTGTCCAGGTGGGTTAGCCATGGAGATATATAGGGTTACAGGGATAGAGTAAGGGGGTAGGGCCTGGGTAGGGTGCTCTTTGGAGGGTTGGTGTGGACTCGATGGGCTGAATGGCCTGCTTTCACACTGGGAGTTCTGTGCTGATCTGTTGATTGTGGTGGTGGGAATGTTTTGTGGTCAAGGTTGAGTGGGAAGATAGTGATGGTGGTAAGGTTTGAAACAGAATATTTTCTGGTGAAGCCTTCAGGTAGGCAATCCTGCTCACAGGGAGCCTTCAAAAACTTTGCCTTAGAGTTGATGCCATCACACCACAAAAGGAATCCTGCCCATACCCTTGGCTGCTTGGATGACTAAAGGACAGTTGTCGGCTGTAGAGAAAGAGGGAGATCTCCCAGAAATGTATCTAGAGCTGTAAAATGCTGACTTTGCGCAATTGCTCAGTGAGTACGCAGAAGATGAAAGGTGGTCTTGTGTATCAGGTGAGAGATTCTTCCTGCCTCTATATCAGTAGTATTGAGGTTGTCACGGTATCAATAAGTGTTGGGGGAGGGACGTCTGGACCAGTTGCTGACTCTAGTTGCCATTGGTCACCATAAACCTGGCGACGTGCGAAGCTGATTAAGCCATGTATTTGTATTTAATGTTTTAAAAAGCACCAGTAGTCATGCATTGCTCTATCCCTAGTTGAGGGTTTTTCTTTGCTCAACCTTTAACAGCTTGCTTGAATGAAATGCCATGTGTTTAAGAAAACATATATTGTGTATGTGGAACCTGTGTTCTGGCACTGCCACTGCTTTGTAATTAAATTCTAAATGCATCTATTATATAAAGCTTAATTACAGAAAGCATTTTATTTCAGGGATGTTGCAAAATAGAATCACCATGGTTATAAAAGCTAAGTACTGCGGAGACTGGAAACAAAGTGCTGAAGAAACTCAACCTCTCTGGCAGCATCTGTGGAGAGGAACAAAGTGAATGCTTCAAGTCCAGGATGACATCTTTGTAACACCTCAGTTCTGAAGAAGAGTCATACTGGACTTGAAACAGCTCCTCTTCTTTCCACAGCTGCTGCCAGACGAGCAGAGTCTCTTCACTGTTTGTTTGTTACAATCAACATGGTTCTCTGTCTCTTTTTAGTTATTCAATGTTAAGAGCTAACGGATGCTTAAAGAGTATTAATTTTTCAATTTGTATAGATTAGTGATGAGAATGGGTTTCAAATATACTTTTTTCTCAGGTAACCTGATTGATTCATTGGTTTAGCTGCATCTCAGTCACATAACTTGAGCTCTGGTGATTGTGCGTTTTAGACAGAAGCCTACCCGTCTAGAGAGACAGGACGGTGCACATATAGCTACTGATTCAGTTGATATGAACTAAGGAGCTACAGCTGGCCTCTGTATCCTTTGGTTGAAGAAAGGAAAGAATCAAACAGGTTGCCTCTACACTCTCCCTCGCCAATGAACCCCACCAGAAAGTATCACGTGGATATGGTATCAGTTACATGTGCTGCTGTCTAGAGTTTAAAAAAGATATTGTGGAAACATAGAAGTTTCAGAAGGGGCTTGACAAGGTAGCTGATCAGTGATTATTCCAGCTGGTTGAGGAACCTAAAACACAAGGGCTCAGGATAAGGGGCTTATCATTTCAAACTGGAGAGGAGAAATTACTGTACTCAGGGTTGTAATTCTTTAGAATTCTCTATGCCAGACGGTTGGGAATGCTCCAATGTTGAAACTTTAAGGCTGGGATAGACAGGATTTTGGTGTCTCAGGGATTCTAGGGATTTGGGCAGTGGGCAGGGAAATGTAGTTGAAGCCAAAGACGATTGAGCCTGCTCCTCCATCCATTATAATGGATGGAACAGTCAACTCCTCCATCCTGGTTTGGTTGAGCTATGGCTTTGATGGTCTCCAAAGAGAGAGAAGTCTATAAATTATTGAACTGTCAACTCAAAGGGAGCAAGCTCAGGAGAAGAAGAGATTAAGGAGTTGTATGTCTGAACATAAGGAGTTGTAAGTTAGTATATTTGTGTATCAGGGTTATCAGTTTATAGCTGAAGTTCACAAGAAAGCTCAAGCTGAACATGGCCTTTCACAACAGATGTCTGGTTCAAAATGTTCTCTCCAGGTTCTTGTTACTGTTTGATTGAGAGGCGGATGGAGAGTTTGCCAAACAAGTCCTTGGCAGTTCACGTGGCATTTTGGCTAGAGCATGTCACTAGGTGAATTGGTTACTGAAACTGACCTTTTCACCTTTGCTTTCTGGGTTCAAATCTGCACCCTTCTCACTGGCCGAGATATTAATTTGGTTCTTGAGTGGGTGTGTGTCACAGGCATAGGCTGCCAGTGGAGTAAACAGTGAGTTAATACTGAGGCAGAATGCGACTAGACATGAGCTTCCTCTTCATCACGCTAACTTGCAAGCTTTTACTCCTGGACTTAAGAAAACATTCCATTTCAGACAACCAATTCCCAGCACTTGTGTGATTGAGCTTAAAAACACAAGGATAAAGTTTGTAACAGTATCCAAATGCTGTGTTCCAATTTGACAGTGGGAGATTGGGGTGGCTGGCAAGGTTTTGTTAACTCTCACTGGCTGGCTGTGGTAGATAGTAAGAGGCCCTACTCTTTCTGATGTGGAGGGTTTGATGATGGGAGGGGTCCCTGAGGGAGAGGGTAGTTACTTTTTTAATAAAACCATGTCTTGGTTTTGAAAACTGTTGGATCTAGTGCATGATGTGTATATTTTAAACCCTGTTATCTCTGAAACATTATCTGTATAAAATGTACATTCTTGCTGTTATTAAATGTGTAAAGTTTAAAAAGTCTATTTTTGATTCTGTTTGTTCTTTGTAGGACAATAAATGATTTTAAAACCTCAATTTGTAGTTTTTTTTGCACATGCATTACAACATAATGCATATTCATTTTTTGTCATTCATTGGATTGCTGAGTGGGCCGATTATTTATTGCCCTTGAGAAGACACTGGTGACCCGCCACCTCGAACTGCTGCAGCCTTAGTACTGTATGTATTACCCATGGTACTGTTAGAGAACACGGTGTCCCAAGATTTTTGACACTGCATCAGTGGAGGAATACTGTAATTGCTCGTCAGCATGGTATATAGCTTGGAGTTGGGTGTTCTGTACATCATCTGACCTCTGTCTCTTGACTTAAGAGGGTGTGTGTTTGGAAGATGCTCTCAAAAGGTTCCTTTTGATAGCTACATTCATTTGGAGCTGTTCTGGTGTCTGTGGGTGGTGTTTGTCAATTGAAACAGCTTATTGATGATGTATCTGTGTCACTGCGTTTGCAATCATGTATTGGGGCATGCTTTGAGCAGAGTTGCTCCTGTTTTTTTTTTTTTTTTTGTTGCCCGCTGAAGATTCTGCTACCTAATGTTGGAATGACCTACAATGATCATGGCTAGTGAAATATCCAGTCTCCCAGCTCACCAAGCTGGAAGGGGCACCCCCTTTTTGTAATCCTGAAAACCAAGCGCAGAATGGTTAATTGTGTGACGTTTACTGCAGACTCCATTTTGTAGAAGTGCCAAATGCCTCTGAGCTTTTACCTGGGTCAGTGTGTTACGAAATGAATGGGTTTGCTGACATTTTTCTGATGCTTTTTTTTCTCTATCATGCAGAAACTTCACTGTAAGGCCAGATTAATCTGCAGTTGCCCTTTTTTCTTTTAATCTAGCAACTGCTGTATTGCTCTGTCTTTGGTTAGTACAATCCTGCCCCCCACCCCTTCAAAGGCTTTGCTGCTCATCCTTCAGTGACAGTAGGAAGGCAGTGGTAAACTTCCTCCTTGTCAGCAGAGTGTCTGGGTAGACCACTTAGGAGTGCAGTTAAGACCGTACTACATTAGTGTGGGCCTAGAGTCCCATGTAGTTCAGACTGAGTAGTGAGGGCAGATTGCCTTCCTGAAAGGAAAGGAAATTAAAGCACCAGGAGTGAACCAGGTAGGTTTTTAACAGTCAGTAATTGTTTCATGGTCTATCTCTCTATAATCCAGATTTTTCATCTGTATTTAAATGCTTTAAATACCATGCTGGGATTCCATCCAAGTTCCCATGGTTTTAGCCTGGACCTCTGGATTAGCACTATGCCTCAGTCTTCCCTATTTTGAGGGTAGTTAAGAATTGACTACATTGCTGTGGGTCTGGAATCACATGGAGGACAGACTGGGCATGGATTGCAGATGTCTTTCCTCAAGAGTTAATGAACTAGACATTTTTAATTGATACAATAGGGAATCAGTTCAGCCTGTGGATTTCTAGTCCAATACTAACATGCCTCCTCCCTTTCCTCTGTTTAAAAAGCTGTGTTTAGGGTGGAGCAGATTGGAAAGATGCAGCTTGAATCAGTAAGTACGTAGTCTGCCTTTATTGACTGGGAGCTTTGTTCTATTGCGTTGAGATTCACACTTTTTTAAAGCACCTTTGCAAGTATTAGCAAATAATGCTGCACCACATAATGAGAGCGTGACCCCCTTCTTCCTCCAGCAACCGATTCTGGTCAAAGGGGCTGCAGTTATGAGGTGTACAAAATCAAATCCTGAGGAACAAGAAAGACTGGCGTTTATAAGCTGCATTTGCTGCTGGCAATGGGACAGGCAGCAAACATCAATGAGGTTGAATTAATGCAGTTACATAACTGTACCTTCAACTCTCAGTGCAAGGGGCTCATTTGACTCTGACCTATTTGATTAAAGATGTCTGTTAGCTGACATTTGGCTACTTTTTAAGCAACCTTATTAAACACAGTGAGATCTGTTTCTTGAAAGCACTTTTATGTTGATTGTTGAAGACAAGTGGCGCGTGGTCATTGGAAGCTGGGTGCACAGCACTCGTCTGATTTCCTGTTCCTGTGTGGGAGTATGCAATGGAGTAAAAGTTATATAACACTCCTCGTAACCACTGGCTGTGTCAAAGTGTCTTTTGGCTATCAAAGTACTTTTTAAAAGTTTAGTCAGTTTTGTAGGAAATACTGCAGCTAATATACACATAACAAGCACACAAACAAAAATGTAATAATAACCAATACAAGTCAACTTTTTTTTTCTTCTATTGATCAATAACAGAAATTGCTGGAAAAGCTCAGCATCTGTGAAGAAAAAAAATCAATATTTCGGGTCCGGTTTTTCCTCGGAGCAGGTGGTAGCTTAGAAAATGTCGATATCGTAGAATCCCTACAGTGTGGAAACAGGCCTTTTGGCCCAACAAGTCCACACCGCCCCTCCAAAGAGCATCCCACTCAGACCCATTCCCCTAATTTCCCACGTCTAACCCACCTAACCTAAACATCCCTGGATGCTATGGGCAATTTAGCATGACCAATCCACCTACCCTGCACATCTTTGGATTGTGGGAGGAAACTCACGCAGACACGGGGAGAACGTGCAACTCCACACACAGGCGCCCGAGGCTGGAATCAAACCTGGGTCCCTGGCGCTGTGAGGCAGCAGTGCTAACCACTGCTACCAAAATAGGGAGGGCAGTGGGTTAAGGAGTTAAACAATAGGATAGAGCCCGAAGAGCAGTTGGACAGACAAAAGGGTTGATAACGAACTAGCTAGGAGGGTGAGTAGTCATTAATGGGGACTATTAGTGACTAACAATAGATAGCGTGTAATGGCAGGCTGTGATAACAAGCCCTGGCGTGTAGGGTAGGGGGCTAAGATGTGGGAGAGTTTAGGCCCTAAAATTATTGAACTCGATATTGAGTCCAGAGGGCTGCAGGGTCCTCAAGCAAAAAACGTGGTGGTGCTCTTCTAGCCAGATTGTTTTCAACTCCTTTGTCTATCCAACTGCTTTTCTCTCTCTAGGGGCTCAATCCTAACGTTTACTCCCTACCCTGTCTCCCTCCCTATTTTCTGTATATAAACCTACGTTTTCCCAGCTACCATCAGTTCTGAAGAAGGGTCACTGGACCTGAAACATTAACTCTGATTTTTTTTTTTCTTCACAGATGCTGCCAGACCTGCTGAGCTTTTCCAGAAACTTCTGTTTTTGTCCCTGATTTACAGCATCTGCAGTTCTTTCGGTTTTTCTTCTGTTGATGTAGGTTGAGCTCATGGTGTTGGGGGTTGTATATTAGCGTGAGTAAAAGATTGGTTGTCTAACAGGAAACAGTACGGATAAATAGGTCAGTATGGTTTGGCCAAAGGAATCAAATCAGCAATCATAGAATCCCTACACTATAGAAGCAGGCCATTCAGCCCATCGAGTCCATACCAATCCTCCAAAGAACATCCCACCCAGACTCCTACCATCTCTATAACCCTGCATTTTCCATGGCTATTCTACCTAGTCCAGGCATCCCTGGACACTTTGGGCAATTTAACATGGCCAATTCACCTAACCTGCACATCCTTGGACTATGGGAGGAAACTGGAGCACCCAGCAGAAACTCACAACAGACGTGGGAAGAACGTGCAAACTCAATGCAGATAGTTGCATGAGGGTGGAATCAAACCCGGGTCCCGGGATTGAGATAGGTGAGCAGAAAAATGCCAGATGAAGCATGATGTAATGCATGTACTTTGGCAGGAAGTATAAAAAGTGGTATAGTATTTCTGTTGAAAAACAGTTGCAAGACTGCAACATTGAAGGAGGTGGCTATTTCACCAGGTGAATCACAAAGTAAGTGCAGCAGTGATCAGAAAGAAAAATGTAATGTTTGTTGCAAGGAATACAGAAGGCAGAAGATTTTGCAACAGTTGTATAGGGCATTGGCAGGACCACATAGTCATACACCATGGAAACAGATCGTTCAGTTCAACCAGTCCATGCTGAACATAATCCCAAACTAAAATTGTCCTTCCTACCTTTCCTATTCATGTACTTGTATCTTTTAAATGTTGTAATTGTGCCCACATCCATCGTTTCCTAAGGAAGTTCGTTCCACAAGCGAACTACCCTCTGTGTAAAAAATTCACCCCATTTTTAAATCTCTCTCCTCTCATCTTATAATTGTGCCCCCTAGTCTTCAACTCTGCCACCCTAGGGAAAAGACCTTTGCTATTCACCTTACCTATACCTCTCATGATTTTATAAACTTTTATAAGGTCGCTTCTCAACCTACCATACTCCTGTGAGAAAAGTCCCAGCCTATCTGTATAACTCAAAACTTCCATACCTGGCAACATCCTGGTAAATCTCTTCAGAACCTTCTCCAGCTTAATAATATCCTTCCTGTAACAGGGTGACCAGAACTGGACACCCTGTTACAGGAACTGTTACTGAACTGCCTTTGTGGGAGAGGTTAGAACCGGGGGGACACTGTTTAAAAATAACAAGTCACCTATTTTTAGTCAGAGATGAGACATTTCTTGCAGAAGTCATTAGTCTTTGGAATTCTCCAGAGAACAGTGAAGGCAGAATCATCGTATGGTTTTAAGTTTTCAAGGGAGTCGAGGGTAGACAGGAAGGTGGAATTGAGGCCACAAATTGCAGGAACTCTCAATGTCTAGATTTTGTAAGCAGGATAAATCGCAGGTGCTGCTCGGTCTTTGTTTCCCTTCTGCCTGTACATATTAAAAACCTTCGAAGCAGGTTTAGGGAGTACGGAAGATTATTTGAGAAACCTGCATTGTCCCTAAAGCTGGGAAATTCTTCTTCATACGTTTTTACCCACTGCCAGCTTTATTGGATCCTTATTCTTTAAGTGGCTAATATAATTGAAGTTTTGGAAGGATGTACCCACAAGCTATCCTTCATTGCTGTCATCAGCTGAGCCAGATAAGACCTGAAGGCCCATGTCAGCTGGATTCTGGAATTGTTGATGCTACCCTATCTCATCATCTCTGCCTCTGTGGGGGTGTGTGTGCGCTAGAGTGTTAGATGAGAGTATTGATACTGGTTCTACACAGATT